AACAGGAGGGATGAAGGAGGTGTGGAATAAAGAGAAGAGGTGGAATAAAGAGAAGTGGAATAAAGAGGTGTGTCTTTGTGGTTGTTTTGTGTCTCAACAATTTGTGACAGTTTCAAGCGATCTGAATAATTTTGGTCATCGTTAGTAAAAATGTCCCATCGTAGCGTTTTACTGTCATCTTTAGTCACCTTTTATTTCCAGCCAGAAGAAGCCTGTTGGTCAAGTCAGGCTCCTCATCACCAGAGTTTGTGATGGTTCTGAATCATTTTGACCTTCATTGGAGGTAAATATGTACACGAGGGCTGTTTCTGGTTATTTTTCACTGCAGGGATGCAAAGACACGAGCTGAGCTGAAGGAAGACGGATGAAACAACAGACGAACAAAGTGTGGGACCTTGTCAGCAGCATATGCCAGCACCAATAACAAGCAGCTCTTATGAGCACCAGGAGACTCCGGCGGCTCACTATTACTCTGTGGAGGCTAATTTAATGACATCACACCACACCTGTTGTTGCTACGGCGACCGCTTCAGCTGTGAATCAATGGAGGTGAAGCATGAAGGACAACGTGTTCAACACTCTGAATCCAAAATGAACAAAACCTAAAGCTTGACCAAAACACTCGAGTTGTTCCCAGAGTTACAGAACAACAACACAATAATCCCACCTGGACCAACCGCGTCGGCCTGAGAAGATCATGTGACTCGTCTAGAGCTCTCAGAAAGCTCAGGAAGCTGAAGGGGAACAGTTTGGTCGACTAACAGCTGCATTTTGAGTAATAAAATCTGACTTTTTCACAATTTCAGATTTTGATGTTGCAGCTTCTGAACCAGAAATAAAAAGTCCTGCAGTTTCTGTGACAGTATCAGAAGCATCAGGCGACAGAAAACAGGCAGGAGCCTTTACAGTCCGGAACGTTTCAGACTGCTCTGTTTCTCAGTGTAAATCATTCTTGACACCATCTGTGATCTTAAAAGGTGCATCTTTTCAGGGCGCCCGTATAGCTCACCTGGTTGAGCGGGCGACCCATGAACAGGGGCTACAGTCCCTGACGCAGCGGTTGTGAGTTCGAATCCCGCTCACGACCCTTTGCTGCAGGTCTCTCCCCAACTCTTCTCCCCCCTTTTTCTGTCTCTCTCTCCACTGCTCTACATAAAGGCAAAAGCCCAAAAAAATATATTTAAAAAAAAAAAAAAAAAGGTGCATCTTTAGACCATTTGTGTTTCGGCTGCTTCTGCTGCAAAATACAGACAAAAATCAGACCAAAGCTTCTTGAATCCTTCGATACCAACATGTTCATGTTGATTTCTGTACAAACAGAGAGACGAGGAGGAAACAGGATCAGCACTAAAACAGGCTGAATGTGTTCAGAGCCAGAACAAACTGGAGGGTAACCAGTTCAGCGCAGACACGTCCACCTGCAGGACGTTCACATGTTCTGAGTAGGAAAGTGTTCTCATACGCACAGAAATTCAATCTGGTCGCTGAAGAAGGCGATTAATGGTTTGAAAAAGCTCCTAAATATATGCATTAAATCCAATGGGAGTGTTTTCTTGCTTTGAAACAAGTCAATCAACTGGGAGGTTTTACGAACATCTGACGAAGACATTCATGTCTTCAGCAGGATTCAGTGCCGGTCAGCTCACGCTGAAATCAATGACTTAATATTTTATATTTGCTGAAATCTGCGTCACATGGTGGATGATGAAATGTGACAGAAGTCAAACAGACGAAGCAGAAACTGTTCCTCGGTGTTTTATTCAGTTTCACCAGTTTATTTCACGGCCACACCTCGTCACAGGTTTTGGGCTCATCGACGTATTTCTGCGTTTCTTCTGTTCAACAAGAGACATGAAGCTCAG